TTTACTGCAGAGCTAATTAGCCTACTCTGCAGTAAATGTCTTGTGTAGACACACCCACACATATGAAAACTAAGCCCAGCTTCATGAGCTACAAACAGACTAAAGACTACAGTAGTAAATCTAATTTGGGGAAATATCCATGCATGCCATATGGTGAACCGCAACAGCAACTTAGTTTTGGGGTGCATCTCTAACACCTACTATGTAGCAGTCTATTGGTACCTACATGGTTTGTTAGCCAGGTTGAAGCCTTCACATCTGCAGCACAGACTTCTGCCACTGGAGCCAATGGAAGTAGCTCATAGTAGTACTGGGTAAGTACTTCTGTGGGGACTGGTGGGAGCAGATATTGAGATATACTCTTTATTACTGGGTTTCAAGAATATTCATTAACAGCACAGTAATGCTGAAACCAGGAATCCTGGTAAATGAAGGAAGTGTGTGCTGGTGGTGATCACTCTTCTGCCCTTGTCTATCTCTTCCCCACATCTCACAGCTTCTTATCCCACTCCTGCTCACCAGTCCCAGGGATCCTGATTCAATCATTTTCCTTAACTAGTCTACTTTCCAGACCTCCCAGTTGTCTCCATCTGCTCCCATCCCGTCTGCCCATCTCAATCTCCCCCCTTCCAGTCCTTTATCCCAATCTCTGCCCAGCTGGTACTATTTTAATTCTACATTGTCCAATCTTGGTTCCTTCCCCAACTTTGAGTTTTCGTTCTGGCCTTCCTTCCAGGCTCACTGATCTACTCACTTTATTTATCAAATTAATACCAAACACTTTTAAAACAGGTTAAAAAAGGGATTAGTCATATTTATGGAGGGCAGGCCCATTAATAGCTATTAAACAGAAGGGTCAGGGATATGGCCTCTGGCAACCCTAAACCATTTATGTTAGATGCCAGGAGGGGAGTAACAGGGGATGGATCACTCTGGATATGCCCTGTTCATGTAGTCTCCATCTATAGCATCTACTGTTGCCACTGTCAGAGACAGCATACTCCTGCTTGAAGTGAGATTCACCCTGTCTAAACTATCTAATTCAAGTGACAGTCTAAATTGCTCCCTAAAAATGTCCAAGAATGGAGATTCCACCACCTTTCTAAATAACCTGTTTCAGTGTTTAACCACGCTTATAGTTGAACATCTTCCTTTTAACCGACATAATTTCCCCTTCTTGCGATATAAGGCAATTGCTTCTTGTACTGTTCTTGCAGGCACTGAAAACAGTCCATCACCATCCTTTGTATCCTTTCAGATATTTGAAGACTATTATTAAATCCCCCCTCACAATCTTCCGTTCTCCAGGCTAAACAGTCCCATTTGTCCCACCTGTTTTCGTAAGTCACATTTCTCAGGCATCTACATTTTTTGTTGCTTTCTATTAGATTCTTTTCAATTTGTCTACATCTCTCCCTTGAATCCTGGTGCCCAAAAACTGCGCTCATGGTTTACAAGCTTTTCTCCACAGTTATGAAGGCTAAACACTTTTTGAAGAAGCTGACCTTTTTGAATCATTGCTTGAGTCCAGAAGTTGGGGCTTTTAAAAACAAGCAAGCAAAGAAAAACAAACATACTATCATGAGACTCTGCATAAAATCATGAGGACAATAACAACTGTATCTGTCTGGGCAGACATGGTTCTGGGATTGGGGCCTATACCTTCTTTTTTCCTACTTGTCCTCAGACCATTTAGCAGCAGCTTCCTCTCAGTTCTTCTACAGCACCTCTCCGTTGTGTGATACCCTTGTCCTCTGCAGTGGTTCCTTTTGGCACCTAGGCTGCATACAAGTGCCCATCCTATGTGTGGCAAAGCCACATCCCTCCTGCTCTCACCCTACCTGACTCCCCCAGTTCTCTCCCTCTTTCTATTGCATGTACGCTTCCATTTCTCTGGTATTCACTTCATTTTTCAGGTCACCTCTGCAAGAAGCAAAGCTCAGGGGGTGCGACTTTCACTCAGTCCTCTGCCTTCAGGTGCAGAGGTCTCAGACATAAAGACTGTGGCCAGATCCAGCCCACAGATCCACTCTATTTGGCCTGCTAGGCCACCCAAATTGGAAGGCCTGACCTGCTACAGAACTCAGGGCCCTTTGGCTGCATTGGACCTGGCCAAGCTCAGCACTCAGACCCCCTGTCCCTGTTTCTGGACCCCTCAGTGTTGCTGGACATCCACTCACACTGCCCCCACACCCGTGGTGGCCGCACCCATGCTGGATCTGGCCCCTGAAGAGCCTGCAGTGTGGATTGAGCTTGGAGCCGCAGGGGAGATGGCCAACCCGCTCTGTACCAACAGCTACATGAGGCAGGACTGCGGTGAGTGACTGCTTGTGACTGGAATCCCCCTCCCCTGACTGCAAAGGCAGCAGGGCCAACCTCTGGGCCCATCCACCTGGGCCTCTTTTAAGCAGGCTTAGCCTAAAATCACTATTTTAAAGGTGCATTAAGGGCACACGTCTACATGCGTATGCCTTTGATGCACCTTAAAAATGGCAATGTAAGGTCATACGAGCCTAAATTTGATACCTGCAAAAAGCAGGTATCAAAAGTAGGCACAAGCGGCCAAGTCACGTTAGCCCATGCATAGATGCACAAATGCGCGTTCATGCAGCATGCATCAGTGGCTGCACGCCACGTTAATGCCCATTCATGCATCTGCACCTACCTGCGCTAATGCAACTTGGCTTTTACGGCCAGATTGAACGCGCATTAGCACATCCATGTGTGGATGTGCACTGAAATCGCCTTAACATGCTCAGGTGTGGGAAGTTAGGTGTGTAAATACACGTGCATACATGCCCCGTGCGTGTTTGTGTGTGACACGTTCGGGAGCGCTTGGACCCACGGGCAGCCCCACCCCTACCCCACCTACGGCTCGGGTGTGGCACGCCGTAGGGGGAGGCAGTTACGTCACACGCGCCCCGCCCCACAACATGGCCGCCCCCATTGTCGGGACGTCACGAGCGAGCCCCAAAGACCCAAAGATAACGGTCCCCAAGGTCACGTGGGTAGGGCCGAGGATGGGGCGGAGCCAGGTGGGCAGGCGGAAGCCAGCGGTGATTGGAAGGCGAGGGGTGACCTCAGCGCAGGTCCCGCCCCTGGGGGCCGGGCACCTATATAAGGGGCGAGGTGGGCGGCGGGGCGGGCTGGGCGCGCTGCGGTTGCTGAGGTGAGAGTGGGGGCGGGGCGGAGCGAAGGGGAGGGCACGGGCTAGGGCTG